TTTCGTTAGTTATTAACTAAAGTGATAGTATACATTCGCCTCATTGGCTGGGACATTTTTCAGTCAACTTGATTCATTTGAGTTTTATTTTTGTTCACTTGATTAAAATTTTTTAATGTTATAAAATTACGGATGTTCAAAAAGGATTATTCATATTCTAAATGAATTTATTATAATTTCTAGTTCAAACATTGCAAGTTAAAGGTACTTAAATTTTCGTTGCGTTAATCTTAAACGCCGTGAGTCTTCGCTGTGTTTTTGTGTCTCGCTTCTTATGTACCAAACGCGTGGAATGTGTGTGTACGTATGTGTGTGTGTGTGTGTATGTATGTGCGTGCAAGTATATACGTGTGCTGCTTGGTGAGTGAATAAAATGTGAATGTAAAAAGTACAGGAAAATTTTCTACAATGTGCCGGCAGTTTTCCATTTTTTTATGGTCAGTGCTGCGTTATCTGATGTTCATCTGCCGGCGATCCTGTTATTATTTGTTTTGCCTCTTCAAGCTTGAATTTTTAAACCTGAACGTGCATAATTTTAAATTATGAATTTTTTTATAACTGGTCAGGTTCCAATGATAACATGGTAAAAACTTGTTTAAGAATGTTTTGGCCCATTAAGTTATGTACGCACATTTCACTGCTTGCTTTTGCAGTACGATCCAGTGCGCATCAATCAACTTTACGAACAAGCAAAATGGTCTATCCTGCTTGAGGAATTTGATCATACCGAGGAAGAAGCTATGCTCTTTGCCGCATTGCAGGTTTGTTCGATTTGTTCGTTTTCCGATTTTTTGCAACATTTTTGTGCCTATTTGTACAGGGTGCGCAAAAAGAGTCAAAAAAGAAAATTAGTGAATGTTAATTTTCCAGCTGCAAGCCACTCTACAACGTGACTCGCCTGAACCCGAAGTACCGGAGAAAGATGATGTGGATGTATTATTGGATGAACTTGTAAGTTAGCTTTAATGTAAATTGCAGTTTCCGAATTTTTCCGTTTCCTCTTGTTCGTTGCGGCGATTCGGCTCCTTTTGAACACTCTGCTGCTTTTTTTTCTGTTACAGGAGCAAAATTTGGATGCAGCAGCTTTTAATCGCAAGGCCGACATTACACAAGTGCCAGAACTTGCCGATTATCTTAAATATATGAAGTAATATTTTACAAATGAAATTTTTAGCAAAATTCATGACTGGTTTTCGCAAGGAGAGGAAGAGCCACTCGGGTAGCATCCGAAAAGGTAATATACAAGCATACGGTAGATTTGCAAACCAAGATCAACTGGGGGTTTGCAAAACAAGATCGAAGAACTTGACATAGCTGTGCCCGGCGTGTGAGAGCATCCCGGTAATATCAGTGACATAGATTCCTCATATCGATTGTCAAGGCGGTTTTTTTGTTTTTTTTTGATATATGAAATATTGATTTTGTTTATTCCCATACGATAAAATTAGGGAAATGAAATTTTACTATTCACTTACTGTCTATTTCGAGCATCTGATTCGATCTTGTAGGAGAAAAACATTTTTTTTTAAACAATTTGTTGGCTTTTTTCAATGAACTTTTGCTGCGGGCGTCCCTCACAACGCCGAGCAATCACAGAACCCTCCATCAGCTACTTTGAAACAGCTGTCGGAAGAGTGCACCATTAATAGCCTCACTAGCGGATAGCTAATGTCAGTAAATACTATAAGTCGATGGATTTCTGGAGGCTTTCACTCCCCTTTCCCCTCTTTCCCCTCCCCGCTCCCCTTCCTATAAATCGTGGAATTTCATGAGCGATTTCAATTCTGATAGTACTGTAGTTGATTCTTGATTTTTTGGCGGCCTGTTTTGTTAAAATTTATAAGATGCATTTGTCCATCAAAGAAGACACATGTAAATACTATGCATTTGGTTAAAAAATCGGACGGATTACAGAATTAACGCTCTAACTTGCAATGCTTCTGAATAGGCGAAGCCACGTTAGCATTAGCAAAGCTCAAAATAGAAAGAAAAAGGGCGCAATGTCCCTCGCTAAAATCATTTTACATATTTACAGTTCGTGCACTAAAAAAAATCTGGTCTAAGTTAGTTTTTTGTTGCAAATGTGCTCTGTTTTCAGGCCCAAAAAAC